TTAGTTGTAAGGTTCCAAAAATCTGGTGATTGTGTGCTGTGTATTGCCATGCTGACTGTTTTACGTCATCTCCTGTTACCAGGTTACCAAAAAATGGGAATATGCTCTTTCTAAAGAAATACCACAGGACTTAAATGGAGTGAGTATCAATCACAATGAATTTAGCAACAGCAGAATTGCAGTATCTTGATTTGATCATTGAAAGGGCTAAGAGTGTAGAATGGTGTTTTTTTGATTGGTGCACTTATTCATACGTGTACCTTGTAGATGCTGATGGAACAAAAAGGTGCGTGCGATAGCATGATAGATGAAAAGAACAAGCTCATCCATGATTTCCAGCAGGTTTGTGAGCTTGTTTCTAATTTATTAGTTATCCATTTAAATAATAATATTGTTGATAAAGTTGGTTACAACCTATAGGCTATAAAAAACTTTATTGAGACTTGATTCATAAAGAAATGTCACTGATCAAAAATGGAGCCTTGAAAAAAATACTACACAGTTCCACTTCTCCTTTGTAAGATACTCTGTTTAGGGAAGCAAGGGCAAAAATGCATCCCTTCCAACAGCATATCACTATATAATACAGTGGTGGATCCAGGGGAGGGGCTCAGCCCCCTCCCCCCCCTCCCTCCCCCATTTTAGACCAAACTGAGGCCCAAAGGGCTGAAAAATTTTTTTTTGGAGATCAGCCCCTGCTCCCTCATCTAAGGGTCTGGATGACCGTCCCCCCTCCTTATCTCAAGGTCTGGATCTGGCACTGTAATAATACGAGCTAAGTCTGTGCCCCACTCCCAACCCAAGCGTTAAATATATCCTTAAAGTAAAAATTCTCTTATATTGTTATACATTTTTTCTAGGAACTCAAGTCCAAAGATGACCAGTATGTTAAAGACTTAAAGAAGGCTGTAAGTTTTATTCTTTAAAACACCAAGAAAAAAATTGTAGTTTCCTTGTTTGTTTCTCTAAGAGCACTGTAAGTACATATAATTTATCTTACTGGGAATAAATGCATGGTGAATCATCCATGATGTAAAGATTTGGAATAAGGTTTAAGAAATGATCCTTCCTTCGATATATACAATGTAGGCCTGGAAGAAATTTTCAACGATGAAAGACTGATTGGCAAGGCAAAGACTGTTCAAGCCTCAAGAAGTGTTTTCAGTGATTTTTCTTTCTCTCAAACTATTATCACAATGGGGGTCATTTCTTTATTCATGGTTCATACAATCTTGAAAAGGTCTTGAATTGTGGTAGTTGTCTTGAAAAGTCCTTGAATTTGATTAAGGTCCTTGAAAAGTACTTGATTTCTTTACTAGGTCTTGAAAAGTCCTTGAAATTCACTACCTTGTCTATGCCAGACATCCCTTTTCTTAAAAATTAGATTATTTCGCTGAGGAAAATCTGGCTCATCCTTTGTG